GCGTATTAATTAAATTAAACATTTCTAACAGGTGGCAACTCTTGAAAAAGTAGCCTACTTTCTAACCTTGGTCATAAGCTATCTGTGCGCAAAATTTCATGCAAATCCGTTTAGTCGTTTCCGCGTTTTAATTTAATTAAACTTTTTTTAACAGGTGTAAACTCTTCCAACAAATTAGCCTATTTTCCACTGTAGGTCATAAGCTATCTGCTTGCAAAATTTCATGCAAATCCGTTTAGTCGTTTCCGCGTTTTAATTTAATTAAACTTTTTTTAACAGGTGTAAACTCTTCCAACAAATTAGCCTATTTTCCACTGTAGGTCATAAGCTATCTGCTTGCAAAATTTCATGCAAATCCGTTTAGTCGTTTCCGCGTTTTAATTTAATTAAACTTTTTTTAACAGGTGTAAACTCTTCCAACAAATTAGCCTATTTTCCACTGTAGGTCATAAGCTATCTGTGGGCAAATTTTCATGCAAATCCATTTAGTCGTTCCCTCATATTAAATAAATTAAACTTTTTTAACAGGTGGCAACTCTTCCAACAAATTAGCCTATTTTCCACTGTAGGTCATAAGCTATCTGTGGGCAAATTTTCATGCAAATCCATTTAGTCGTTCCCTCATATTAAATAAATTAAACTTTTTTAACAGGTGGCAACTCTTGGCCACCTAGCCTATTAACCAATCTGGCCCATAAGCTATCTGTGTACAAAATTTCATGCAAATCCGTGCAGTCGTTTCCGCGTGAAGATTTCCCAAACATCCAAACATACAAACTTTCACATTTATAATTTTAATTAATAAGATTATATTTGTGTGGCATATTTGTAAGTATTTTATAAAAAAATGAAATGGCAGCATGATTCTCTCATGGCTGTCTTTGGACTTAGAAATTTAACTTAGAAATGAAAAGTCTATAGTTCACCAAGTTTATAAGTGAAGTTGTTTTCTTGGTAACTACATGCACGCGCTGCTCATTTGCCAGATATACAATTTTCAATTCAAGTAAAGTCTAAGTATTGTATAACTGAGCTTTTACCGTTGATTTTTGGGAATTATTTTGTTCACGGTATTGCTGATTTTCTCCATATAGAAAAAATCGACGAACATACTTCGTATGATGAGTGACATTGTCAACAAAAAAATTGCCAAAAATCAACGGTAAGTCGGAGCTACATTAAACTTGCAATTTATTATACAAAAATTGAATGGACTACAAACCTGCATACCCAAAATATTTGTAAAATAAACTATAATTAAAAATCTCGCAATTTGTATAGTCGAGGTTTTCACCAAACACTCGTGTACATACGTCTTTCTTCTACAATTCTGCCTGAAGCAGAAAAAACTCTTCACTAGTTGAGCTAGCTGGTATGTCTAAATTTTGCTTTGACTTTGCAAGAAAAATGTAAACAATGCGAAAAACTGTGTCAATCAGGGATGCCACTTCACCACCGCGAAATTCCCCGATTTTCAGTGAAATTCCCCGCACTGGCTTGATTTCATTAAAAAACCTCAAGTTTTTAAATTCAAATGCTTGAATTTATTAACGAATGTACATACAATATTTAAATGTTATATTTTTTCACTAATTTTTTATAAAAATAAATTTTTTTTTTAAATATTTGTAATTGTATAACATACGCCATATACATAAGTCAAAGTTTAAAGCTTTGGGCAAAACTTACAAAAATTCAACAAATTAAAAAAAAAGTTTATCAAAATTTTCAACTTTTTACTGGTAATTTTAAGAAGCGAATTTATGTAATTTGAGTATAATAATGTGCACGTTTGAAGGGCTAAAAATTACCGTTGGTCTTTTGATATTTTTTTTTATTGCTTTCGCACTTTCTTTCCACTCGGCCCATTTGATTAAATACAGATTATAGATTAGACATATGTAGGTATGTATGTATATATTAATATTATTTAATGTTATGTAATGAAAATATAATTGGATATATTAATAAATGAATAAATAATTGCATTATTTAAAATGTATATATAAATGAATATACGTAAAATTAAAAAACGGCAACCTGGAGCAAATAGTTCATTTAAAATTTCGAACTAGTTCGTTCGATCAATTCAATGACCTACTGCATTGAACTAACGAGTTCGTACACTTTCCTACTGTACTGACTAGGCGAATTAAATTCCCATTGATTGCTGACATCAATGTGGTTGTTCACGCTTGCCTGCTTATCAGTTTATCTGCTTAAAAATAATTTTTCCGTAGTGCATTTTGTTGCTGTACAAGAATAAAATACACTACAGAAAAATTATTTTTAACCAGATAACCGGCAAACGTGAACAACCACAATGTTTTTATAGTGTGGCTAATGCGAAATTGCAAAAGTATTCGCATAAGGCAGCGAATCCTCGATTCCCCGAACGAGATAAATTCCCCTCAAATCGGGGAATTCCCCGCAATTTGGCATCGCTGGTGTCAATATCAAACTAAAATGGCAAAATTTTGAGAAATTAAGCAAATATAGAAATTTTTATTTAATTTGAATACGTTGCTTTGTGCACACGCATCTCGAATTGGGGTAAGCTCCACTATTAACTAACTCCTTAGGACCAAGGTTCGATATCTGATCAAAGCAACCTCCAAACAATTTGTTTGCTGTTCGAAGGCTGCGTAAAACTAGGCCCGTTCATTTGTGTAACAACAATAAGACGCGCACCACAAATTGGAGGATAAGCTCGGCCAAACACTTAGCGATAGTGTAAGCGCCAACATATTATTATTTTATTATTAACGGTCGTTTTCTCAAATAGCCTTTCAAACACACTTTTTGTGAGCAAAATTCGTGCTTAAAGGGCTGATACATTTTGAAATTGGCTTGAAATTTTTTGAATAGAACTGTGAACTCTGATCGACTACATTTCAAATAAAAACTTTCACCAATTATATTTCTCTCGTTGCATGCAGTAATTAATTTAGTTTAGGCAGGACAGCGTCTTTCGGGTTAATTAAAAACAGAGATAACCATCACTCAAATATCGTTGAGTAAGAAAATATTCTCTAAATTCTCTGTCAAATTGTGAAAAAAATGCAAATTATTTATTATTTGTAGTTAAAGGTGGAGTGCGGTTACCTGTTTGGCTACAGAAAAAATCAAAGCTACTTCAAAGAACTACAAACGAACTCCTACAAGGTACACTAGTCAAATTATTTGTAGTTCAAAGTCGGGCTGGGTCTGTTTTTTCAATCTATCGAATTTCGTTATCTGTTTAACTACCAAAAAATGTAAATCCACTACAATGAATTACAAACAAAGTCCTATAAAGTACACTGGTTAAAGTAATTATTGCTAAAAGTGGGGCTAACTTGACAGAACTTAAATTTTCCCTTGCTTTCACATTTTTTGGGTCTGGACAAACGCGATTTGGCAAAAATCTTACACATAGTATGTAAAAACATGTATACGGGCGTATTTTTAACTTACTCTTCCTCGGCCGCATTGTTCTTCTTTCCGACTATTTGATATTTGGGCTCCTGGGTCATTTTGCATAGTCCTTGCTGTTTGTGAATATTGACAAAAAAGTGCAGCAATGAAATTAAATTCTAAATGTTTATATCGTTTTAAATAATTATTACCGCTTGAAGCTCCTCCAAAACAGCCTGAATAATCGGACACATCATTGCGGTGCAAGCGGCATTCGAAATCCACATGGATATAAACATTGTTACCGCAATAAGGCCAAAATGTAACCTAACACCGAAAGTGTCGAATGTAAATATTTTTACTTTACGTTTTGTTTATGTAGAATATACCTTCGAGGACTGCATCCAACCATTTGAATAACCCGCAATGCCAATCGTTTATGTAAATTAGAGTACTCAACAGCGAGAGCCACCATAATACCACCCATGAACATTACCAGAGTATCCTTAAAATATAGCCTACACGTCTGATCGGAACTCTGAAAAATGAAACAAGATTGCCGGTACATTATAATCATTTGTGGGTATTGATAAGAGCGCTATTTGAAAATAACTTCCAGAATAGGTACGTACCATTATTCCCATAATCGGAAACGCCACTATTGGTATCATGGAAGTGACGTAAAGCGGTAATGCTTCAGTAACCCAATAGACCGCCATGACCAAGAGCAAATACATGCAGCGATATGCCTAGGACCATCAAATTAATTTAAAAAATAAATAAAAATTAAATTTTATTTCTTTTTATTTGCATTATGTACATCAGTCAGTAGAACAATATTGAGTATGTATGTATGCTATGTGGTTATTTTTTATGTAAATAATTTTAAATATCAACTAATTATTTCTACTAAATACTTACAGGAGTGTTGTCTATCAGCATAACGGGAAGGGCAAGGAGTGGTGTTAGGAATACGACTAAGCCCTTCCAGTGGAACGAAAAGAAGGATTTTGCGTTTTCACCACATGTTTCCGGGGGTGATGCGGCATTCCCCACTTCACTGTTGGAAAGCAATTACATACCCATGCTTCATAAAATATTTTAATAAAATTACTCACATTTCCATTTTGAGCAATTATAACTGTTTGGCACGGATCCTGGAAAGGACAAAGGAAGTTCATAAAATTATATACATACATACATAAATGTAGATTTGAAGTATGTATTAACATATTTGCACAAATATTGACAATTAAACTGTTTTAGGGAATAATGCAGTTACAAACATAGCCGTCTGTTTAAGACTTTTTGAAAACGAGCAAGTAAAGCAGCCTAGCCTAGGCCGTGTTCCCATACCCCATATACCATATATGTTCATGTATTTTTTTTCAAGAAACCATCTTACAGAGAACTTATTCAATTTGCAAAAGCCGGGAAAAATCATTTGCTTGTAAATAAACTCAAAATTTGTATGGCTCACTAAATTTCAAACGTTTTTTCTTTTGTTTTGAAAAATTATAAAAATTAAATAGAGCGAAAACAAAAAGCAAAGCCAACTAAAAGTAAAAGAATCAACATTAAACTGCGTTAAAATGAAAATAAGGGAGCATGAATTTTGACCGCAGGATATATTTTGAAGGACTTTGTAATTTCAAAGATATGATTAAATCCGAAAATTATTAAAAAATTCAATGCAATGTAGAACAAAAATATGGGTAACAAATGCAATAGGAAATTTCTTTAAAAATTTTAATTTTTCGGATTCACCAGAACGAATAGGTAGTTTCTAAGCTGACAATGTTAGAAGAACGAGATTCGAACAATTATTGCAAAATTTCAAGGATATAATTTTAAAATGACATTTTCAATATTTACCAGCCTNTGGATTCACCAGAACGAATAGGTAGTTTCTAAGCTGACAATGTTAGAAGAACGAGATTCGAACAATTATTGCGAAATTTCAAGGATATAATTTTAAAATGACATTTTCAATATTTACCAGCCTTCTGCACTAGAAACTTGAATATGTTTAAGCTCTACAGGATTTCCTCATCAATTTTATACCCATACTTCTTCTCTAAGCACATTTCTCTGAGGTTTTTAAATCATTTTTGAATTACTAACGTCAGAGTGAAAAACTAAAAACGCAATTTTACTATATTTGGCCCATGGTTTCGCGAATATATTGATATTTGTGTTTAAAATTTATTATCGCGCGGTGTTATATGTACAATGAGCTAAACATTTATAAAAAATATTAATTATTAAATAAAAAAGGAAATATAGCCAATACTGCTCAAGAAAATGAGTTTCTATTATTGCCATCAGTGCAAATTACAAATCCCGAAAATCCCGGGATTACTTGCCAAGAATCCCGGGACTTTCGAGGCCTTAAAAAGTCCAGGATCCCGGGATTAACATTCCAAATGTGCACGCATGCGGCCGCTGTGGTGTGGTGGTTAGGAAAGCGCACTGCCATTCCGCAAGGCCTAGAATCAAACACAGGTTCCAACTAACACCAAGTACAAAAGAAAATAAAACATTTTTCTCAAGTAGCGGCCGCCTTTGGACAGGGAATGGCAAACCTCCAAGTGTATTCTGCCATGAAAAACCGCTTCTCATAAAAATACAAGCGCCGTTCGTAAAACTGTAGGTCTCTCCCTTCGTGCGACAACATCAAGGCGCACGGAACAAATCGGAGGAGAAGCTCTGCCAAACACTAACATATGTGTAAGCGCCAATATATTCATTGTGCGAAAAATCTCTTGCTCTGAATGGGTGCGCTTCTAGTACATTTAGACCCAGTACTGGTTCACGATAAATCTCTTTTGCATGCAAACATATGACGAATTTAACATGACGATGTCCTAGGAAGTGGCAATTGCCCCCGCTGCATCCTTTTTTCGATAGTTCCGAACTAGTTCTAAATTCTATAGTTCCGAACCAGTTCTAAAATCCACAGACGAAAAAAAGTATCGTGATGTTTCAATCTTTTCGGTTCTTCTGTGTGCGATTTTAAATTATTTCATCGTGCGACAGTCAATTTTACACACGAAAAAATCAATATATTCACAAAGCTGGGGATCAAATATAGTAAAACTACGTTTTTTAGTTTTTCTATCTGACATCAGGATTTGGTTAAGAGGACTTTGAAATTTCTAGAATATGATTGAATAAAAAAATTATTCAAAACATTCGGTGCATTGTAGAATAACAATATAGGTACCAATTTATTTATTTATTAAGTGTGCAGGATTTTGTTAAGAGGACTTTGAAATTTCTAGAATATGATTGAATAAAAAAATTATTCAAAAGATTCGGTGCATTGTAGAATAACAATATGGGTACCAATTTATTTATTTATTACGTGTACAGAAAAAAGTTTTATTGCAGACAAATGAGATAAAAAGATTTAGATATTTAAGTATGTATGATATATTACAGAGTAAACTAATTATACATATTCATTTGTAATAATAATAAAATAGCAAGTTGAGTAGCTGGCGAGGCCTAGTCTCCAGTCTACTTTTTTGTTTGGCGGGCGGAAAGACCTAGTTTCCGCTCCGCGCTGTAGACAAGCTGTTGCTCATGGTCGGAAAGGCCAAGTTTCCGATCCATGTTCCCGAAGTCATTACGTTGTATGTGAGGCAGGCGGAAAGGCCTAGTTTCCGCTCCGCGCTGTGGACGAACTGTTGGGCTTGGTCGGAAAGGTCGAGTTTCCGATCCATGCTAGTATTGTCTTAAGTGGTCGCTAAAATATACGAAGACGTTACAATTGTACTAAGCAGTCATAGATATTGTGTACTTTTTCGTTCCCGGTTAAAGATATTAATTTATTTACTTAACATGTTGAGCAAAGTTTTTTTTATTACAAAAAGCGATTCAGATATGCTTGTTAAAATCTTGGCATAGACAACGAAAAGCATCATGCATTTAAAATGCTCAGTAAAAAGGGACTAATGACCATCCCGTTAATTAGTTTAATTAAAAAAAGAACAGCAAGCATCTTTCTACGACTTTGAAGTGTCGGCAAATCTATAAGCTTCAGGGGATCTTTGTAGGGTGGGAGATTTTTAGACGAGCCCCAACGTAAATTTTTTGGGGCACATAACAGGAACTGTTTCTGCACTGATTCGAGCCTGTCGCTATGAATTTGATAACTAGGATTCCATACTACAGATGCATATTTCAAAATCGGTCTTACTAGAGGGGTAAACAGAACTTAAGTGACATAAGGATCATTGAACTCCTTAGCCCAGCGCTTAATAAAAGCCAATACAACTCTAGCCCTAATCACGCAGGAGTTTATGTGAGACTTGAATTGTAGTTTCGGATGCATAGATACACCTAGGTCAATGAAGTTGGTTACTTGCTCAACATTGTGGTCAGATATCATATACGAATTTGAGTGGGACGATTTTCTAGAGAAGGACATGAATTTACACTTTTTCAAATTAAAAGAAAAAATTCTGTAGAATAGAAAAAGAAATAAATTTTTGGGTGCACCAGGACGAATAAGTATTGAAAATATCCTTTTTAAACTATATCCTTGGAAGTTTTCAATATTTATTTTTGAAAAAAATATATGTCAAGGACTAATATGTTAACTACCACATCCTCGAGTTTCGTCCGTCTAACTTTATTAGTTTTAGATAAAAAAAATTTACACTTCTCTTTATAAGATATTTATAGTTACAATATACTGGAATCATTATTATGACAATGTATGCGCTCTAAAAGAACAAACTGACCTTATGATGTACGGTTTAAATACTTTAATGGTTTTGTATACAAGGGCGCTGCCAGCCTTTCACCTAGGGGGCAGGAGTTTATAAAGAGGGAAGAAATGTTTTTAATTATTTTTTTTTGTGTGTATAGATAGAAATTTTTTGGGTTTAAGAAAGTATAAGTTTTCTGATATCCTTTGAAACGATACCAATTTTTTAAAAATCGGTATGTAATTTTTTTGTTTAAAATATTTTTTTAAAAAAAGGTATTTTTTCCTTTTAAGTGTTTTTTCTCAAATTTTTATATTCGAAGTATACATGTACGCATTGCGTTTACAACGACAAAAATTTTTTTTAAATCGGTTAGTATTTTTTTGTTAAAATTTTGTTTTAAGGTATTTTTTGCTTTAAAATGCTTTTTCTCAAATTTTTATATATGAAGCATACAAATATGCCTATCAGAAAAAAGGGGGTTTAATCACGTTTTCAACGATGCCAATCAGTTCAAAATTGGTTGAAATATAAGGTTTTTAATTTTTCGAAAAGCCGACTTTTGACTCCTTATAGCACCTGTAATATAAGTTTGCACAAAAAAGGTTATACACCATTTAAAAAAGAGCAATAGGCGAACTAGGTCTATATTTTTAGTTTTTTAGTTGTTTACATATAATAATAAAAAACATTTTTTAACAAAGGTTCTTTTTCGAACTTCGAAGAGATTTCGGAAGCTAACTTCGAAAAACAGAGAAATTACTTTTTTACCTATGACTCACTCTCTTAAGAAAAATTGGTTTGGTCCAATACCCAATCGAGTGCGCGACGAAAACCAAAAATTAAAAAAAATAAACACAGGAAAAAATCAATATATTTACAAAACTAGAGCCAGGACGACAGGATTTTTTTCAAAGGACTTTGAAATTTCTGGGATATGATTGAATAAAAAAATTATTTAAAAGATTTGATGCATTGAAGAGTAACAATATGAGTATCAATTAAAAGGAAAAATTCTGCTGAATTAAAGAAATAATAGTTTTTTGGTGCACCAGGACAAATAAATGTTGAAAATGTCTTTTAAAAACTTTATCCTTGAATATCCTTGGATATTTCCAATATTTATTTTTGAAAAAATGTATATATCAAGGACTAATACGTAAACTACCACATCCTCGAATTTCCTCATTCTATCTTTATTAGTTTTAGATAAAAAAAATTTTACGCTTCTCTTATAAGTAGACTGAGGATTTTTATGCAAAATACGGAGCCTAGAAATATGTACCACATAACTATAGCAAAGTGTATAAACAAAATGTATACAAATTTATACACTTTGCTTATAGTTATGTGGTACATATTTCCAGGCTCCGAATTTTGCATAAAAATCCGCAGTCTACTTATAAGATATTGATAGGGACAATATACATATGTAAATGAAGATACTGGAATCATTACACTGTAC